GATCGTATTTTGGATGGAAATTGATGCGATCGGTCAATTATTTTCGGCGAGTCTAATTGACGTTATTATGATATGCTATATTACATTACAGTATTTCCGAAAAATAATCGGTTGGTCGTTCAATTTTTCTACAAACATTAAAAAAATATCCAAGAACACAAATAACGCATATTTTTTCTACATTTTGTGTGGGTATTCATAGATAATTTTTATTATGAAAAATTATTCCACTAAAGTCCGCCCTCGCGTCAACATCCGGCCGATCATCATCTCCAAAAAGGTGAAAATAAAATGAAGAAAGCGTTGACATCGAATATACGGATATCTATGTACAGTGCAGAGAAAAAAGATAAATCTCCGGAACGATGGGACGGGCTCTGCGGGATTCTATTCATTTTTGTGGCGCTCGAGGGAGAATACATAGAGTAGATCCAGTGATGTGCGCTATTCAGGTTCACGAAAGCATATCTTCAGGCGCTCAGATAGATTTTAGAGGAGGAGCGCCCTGGAAGATCGGCGCCCCCGTGCACCAAGTGAAAATAAAAAAAAAAAGAAAAAAAAATGAAAAAAAAGGGGGGACCAGGTGCATCCCGAGAGACCCTGGGAAGCGCAAACTTCGTGGGCCCTCGAATCTCTTGGTGTCTTTCTCATCGGTTTGTTTCACTTCAGCTACTTGCTGTCGGCAGATGCTGAACCTCCACTCGGCATTTTTACATTCTCTCTGATGTCTCTTCCTTCAATCGTTCAAGTGCCTTTCGTCTCTTGTTTGTCCATTGGAAAAATGCTGCTTCCTCACTTCTGTCTTTACGGACAAATGATTTTTCTATAATTTTTTATTTTCCTTTCGTTTGGACTTTATTGAATCTTGGGTAGCAGATAGCATTCAACTCTCGAGAGTTATTCCGGACTGGCGACTTTTCTGATGCTATTGCATTTTTCCACGGATACTTAATGGGTAAAATGGTATTATCGCTCTCGTTTTCTCATTTTCAAGTGACTATTCACGTTATGATTTTTTTTTCTCATTGCTCACTGGTGTCATTATCTTTATTGGCGGTTTTCGTAATTATTCAGATAATCCTCCATTGAAATAAAGAGCAGTATAAAGTTTTTCATTGCTGTTTAACTCCACTTAGTTTAGACTTGAACTTGATGTTACATTTAAATATGAAACATTAAATTAAATATTGAAATTAATAATAAAAAATATTATTTTCAATAGGTAAATCTATAACACAGTATTTATATTTTATTTTTGTGTTTTCCCGTAAGTTTGTAAAGTTAGAAAAAAAAATTTTTTGAGTTATGAGATGAGATTATATATACTAAAAACGGAATAGATAATATATAAAGATAATGTATACATTATACTATTGCATACAATAGCGGCAATTAGAATACAATTAAAATTTTTCTAGCGATGGGAATATTTTCCGGATTTCATAATTGCAGGGAGCAATTTCTTATTTCAGTTCTTTTCTCAGGGGTGATACAGGGATGATGATGATTTTTCTTTTGTTGTATGTGGGGCTCTCGGTTCCTGGAAGCAGTTGCATTGGCGGTGAAAATTGTCCAGTCATCTTTCTGGATGACGAATGGAGAGATTAGGACTTTTCGAGGCCTTTGTTGCTGACGAAGTGGATTTCAAGTTGGCAGGATGCCTGCGTGGAATTTGAAATGGAATATTTTTGCGAGATCAGTAAGGGCCATTCGGCGTTTCTTTATTCTCCAAACATTTCAATTTTTCTATCGCGATAATTATCATTAATTGCCGGGCCAACTTTAGTATACGCAATAATCGTAACATTAAACTTTTTGGGTGTCCAAAATTTCCGAGTACAATTCCAATTTAATCATTTTTATCAATAAAGACTTTTGTAAGAGGAATACAATAATTTTTGGAGAGTTAAATTTTAAATAAAATGCGAAATTGTCGGTGTAGAGAGTGTTAAAAAAAAGTTCAAGTGAGGTTCATTTAATACGAGCCGTGGAGTCTGGGTGGTGTGGGCCATGGAAGGGTGAAAGCCGACAACCTGTTGAATCAGACAATATCGCGTTTTTACTAATGCCCTGGTATGCCAAGACCACAGATCCGCGATGGAAAGGGTTTCACTTCATCTCTATATCTTCCTGGTGGTGTTTTTTGCCAACCCTGACGAACACCCCCGCCTCATCATTAAATAATATTACATGCATGATTTTCCCCATTTATTTTCCATTTTCCCCTTTGCCCCTTTCCAATTTATCTCATCTCTTCTATCATTCATGACACCCACTCCATTGTTTTCCGAAATTCTTGCGAACAATTTTAGCAACAATTTAAATTGTTGATGGAGGAGTGTCCAAGCACTTGGAGGATACAGGAAAAAGACTGTAAACCACTGGCTATTTTATAACCATATTTTCTTTCAACTGCTTGTCCTTGAATGAAGACATGTGTCGCATGTGTCAGGGAATGTCTAGATGTTGGTCGTGTTAACCACGTGTGACCTCACAAGGAGGCACGCTGTAAATCCAAGGACTGAGTGAAACTCCAAAGAAAAATAGAAGTGAACCCATTGTCAAGAGGTCCAATCTCTGTTCCCCCGAAGGCTCTGGAGCAGCTGATTGGGATTTTCCTTGGGCATGGATTACATATGGTTCTCTTGTGTGGCCCAATCAACGCCAATGGACACAGAAAGGAGAGGAATTGCACGTCAAAGAAAAATAAAAATTGAATTAAATCCGACACAAAAAAGAGAGTAAAACCTACTGACTTGAATGATATTATTAAATAAAAAATCTATTTTATTTATTTTTTCTCAATTGCATAATTTTTTTTTCATAAATTTCTCGAAGAAGTATTATCTATCAAAATAAATCATCAGCGAGACGATGCCCGTGATAAGTCAACTTACATCTTGAATATCTCTGAAACTGAAAGAAATTATGATTTTTCGTAGGATCCATTTTTGTAGCTTTCAATTAGACCAACAGAAAAGGTTATAATTAAAATTTTGATATCGTCTTCCCTCGATTTCTATATATATTTAATATTCATGGAGAATATCGCATTGATTATCCTTTTCAAAGTGGCATTGGTTTGAAAAAAAATTTTAAAAATGTCGAAAAAAAATATTGCAATAATTGTTTTGTGGACTTCCGGTAATCCGAGCTCATCTTCAAAGACACGTGAAGTGTTCTTTCTGCCCACCCATAGGAGCCATTAGCATTCTGTCTTTGAACACTGTCGGCACTTTCTCTTTCCGGGTTCGAAAGAAAATGTGCGATCGAGTTTCTTACATGCCCTCCAATGACAGCGTGAGACACTACTAGTTCATACTTCTAAACTACAGATCCACTAACCAGCATAAATCCAATTGCGGAAATACAAATTCCAAAAATAGAAATCGAATAATCGATCAATATCGATTAGGAATAGGATTAAGCGAAAGAGAAAGTGCGAACCGGTTTGAATATCTTCAATTCCTAATCAAATCCCTAATCATAGTCTCTATTCAACAAAAAAAAAACCACAAGAAAACAATAATCGGGTTTATTATTTTTTATATGAGTTTCAATGTTTTCTTTATTTAATACATGGAATTCTGGAACGTTTCAGTAGTTGACGACTAAGTTAAACGGTAGTAATAATTAAGAATGTTCAAAAAGAGAGATTACCATAACATTTTTCAATTTAATACTGATATACTGATAGCCAATTACATTGGCTTTGTATTTCTTAACGTTATTTTTCCGGCATTTTTATGACAATTTGGGTAATTTTTTTTTCTACGTGCCGGAATAGGAGAGAGATTGCGTTTCCGCACGGTTAATCCAACTGCCGATTCCGCCCATGTGGGTGTAACCTGCTGATTCATCACCTCCAACATATTGATTCAAAATATTTTAAATTCCAGAGGGTTGATCAAAGTCGAACGTGAGGTTTCTAGGAAGACCTATACTACCGTTTACCGTTATTCTGCCAATCGCCGGATTGAAAATTTCAAAAGGAATTAACCATTTTCTAACCGTGCGAAATTCAAGGGGCAATAGATCCTTGAAATTCCCGAATAAATCAAAAACCCTCGACACGATTTTTTTCCCATTTGAAAAAAAAAGATTTTTTTAAAAGGTCATAAGAAGAATTTTAACCTTTCCATTATTTTCCACCGCGCAGAAATTAAGCCTTTGACAAAAGCTTTTGATTTAAAAAAATTTATAGAATCCAATGGGGGTCCCTCCGTCAAAAATCGGGTCCACCGCCAACCACTTGGCCTTTTAATAAATTTTTCAACCCCTTCAGGCTCGACCCTTCCCTCCAGCCTTTCGCTAAATTACATTTTTTTCAGGGAACTAATATCATCGCATTTCTCCGTAAAAGCGTGAAAATTTGCGATACGACAGGCGCTACGTTCCCCTGACCCCTTGCCACCCTTTCTTTTTTCCCCTTTCTTCTTCCTTTGTTGTTTTTTTTTTCTTCCGTTTTTATTTGAAATCCAACTCTTGCCTGCCCCTCTTTCCCACGGACAGAATCCTTTCTGGCTTTTCCCAAAAAATACTTGCACCGGCCCTACGTCAGGATACATAAGGGTTCTCGCGCATTGTTGTGATTTCAAGAAAAAGCGGGGGATTTTTTTTTTACCACTGACAAATCTTGATGGACATGAAAGGAATGAGTTGGTGGAAAAAATAGGTTGAAATTTTTCGTCATAATTTTATTGGATTTTTTATTCCGTCAATCATATTTTTCAACGAAAAAACTATAAAAAAAAGACTTGAGAAATTTCGTATAAATAATTTAATGGAGTCCTTGGTTAATTGTCGTATAGTCTTATTACTCTGAATTTTAAGATCAATGGTAGGAAATTGGAAACATTTTAAACCGATATATCGGCATTTCAAATGAACAGTATTATAAATTATAATGTAGTAAGAGTTGACATTATCAAAAAAGTTACCATATTCATCATCATTCATTCATCAATGATAAAGAGTTCATTTCTTGGTATTTAGCACTTGAGCGCGAGGCCAAATTTTATGTAAGCTCAGTGCACCGTGCGTACTGTGTCCCTTGAAGACGATCGCAGAAAAAATCATGCGGATCACCGGTTTTTCATGGAATCCTGTATTCCTACTCACCACTTTTTTAGTAATAGTTAGTGCTTCTCTAACTAACAAAACATTATTTGGAATTGACCTCAAGGATTTGCCAAACAGTTTTTTGGGAAAACTCGCTATCTTGAATGCAGTTCCGTACGATCCCAATACGGTGCTAACAACAGTAAGTACCCCATAATTTCTTCACTCATACATTAATTCTACTGATAAGATGACCTTTCATAGTTTGTCCGTACAATTATCAACTTTGCTTTAATGTGAAGTAGACCTGGGCAGTTAGAGCTTTCTATTCTTATTTTTATTTTATTCTTTTCCATTTTTTTTCGGATTTTTTGTTTTTATCTATAGCCCCAGATGATACGTCGAGCGGGATATCCAGCTGAAAGTCACATAGTGCGAACGGCCGATGGATATCTCTTGGAGATGCACAGAATTCCCAATGAATCCGGATACCCGATATTCTTACAACACGGATTGTGGTGCAGTTCTGCTGATTGGATTACGCAGGGGAAGGGCAAAGCTCTAGGTAAATTTCCCATGTCTCCACATGTCAATTTTAAATTGAATACATTTTTTCCTAATTGACAATCAGACGAATTTTGATTGTGTTGTTTCCATCAAGATCCTTCAACCTTGATAATTTTCAACCGACTCTGTGACAGACATCAATTTTTCTAATGTCACTTATGGATTTATTATTTTCTACTGCAGCATATTTACTAGCAGATTTGGGATTCGATGTGTGGCTGGGTAATTACAGGGGCAATACATACTCCACAGCCCATGTAATTTTAAATCCTGCCAATCCATTATTTTGGAATTTCTCCTGGCATGACATGGGAATTTACGATTTGCCGTCCATGATAACGTACGTCACTGATATAAAGAAACAGCCGGTGATATACATCGGTCACTCTATGGGAACAACTGCATTGTTCGTCATGGCAGCTAAATGTCCTGACATGCATTCAAAAATTCGGTTCATGTTTGGTTACGCACCGGTTGGTTTTAACTCTCATTGGAAGACACCTCTTCGTGACTTGGCCTCTTATAGTAAACTCTTAGCAGTAAATATGTTGTTTTTTTATTACTATTTCAGCTCAGTACTTTCATAACACCTTTTTTTGTAATGTTTGAGAACGGTCAGGATTGAAGCGATTTTACAATATTTTTCATATTTACAGTCTTGGGGTGATACCTTTGGGTATGGCCCGATTCTCACTCGAGATGCTGAGATCGATCCATTCATCTCACTTCTATGCAATCCGTCTAAACTTGGAGAAGCAGAATGTGAAACTTTTGTATTTCAACTGTTCGGAAGTGATTACACACAGTTGGAACCTGTGAGTTACTTCAAATCAATTTTATTAAACATAATTAAAACGTGGAAATTGATGAAATTTTATTGTAACGTTGGAGTAATTTTGCCAGTAGTAGTACTGGAATTTGTCTTAAAATATTTTTTATTTTACCCACCATGTAGTGTCTTGATAAAAAAAAGAAAGACACCAATTAATCAGTGGATCAATGAACTAATTTAAGATAGAAAGCTTTATTTTTTATAGGACTGGATTCCAAATATGATGGCTCATATGCCAGCAGGTTCATCGACGAAGACTGTAAATCATTATCTGCAAATATTTGAGTCGAAACAATTTCAAGAATACGATCATGGGCCTACGAAAAATTTACAATTATACTATTCAGTGCTTCCCCCTGCTTATGACCTAACGAAAATTACTCTACCAATTTTCTTTTTCTACGGCCTGAACGATGTGGCGGCTCCACCAGAGGTAAACCAAAAACCAAATTATCAATAAATGATTATAAAAAATTGTTTTTCTTCCTTAGGACGTTACCGCCTTCTATGCTCTATTGCCGAATGGAAAAGGAATATCTGCAGTCAATTATACACAGTTCTCTCATCTAGATTTTCTATGGGCAAAAGACGCGAAACCATTAGTCTATGATCAGACTATCTCGATGATTCAGAAAATAGTGGCGGAAGGCGCTAATAATTAATTGAAACGATTGATAAGGACATTATCTATTCACCATTATTAATGGACAATTAAATAAAGTAATTCAAGATAAACATCCAAAGCCTTTGAATTTGAACAGAAAAATCGAAACGTCAATTGCGACATTGAAATAATGATGTACGCTCAAGTACTGTATTTTACGGTTATTTTTTCAGTGCTCCATTCATAATGGAGATGTTCTAAAGAAGACCAGAATAACCCAGAATTCATGATCACAGTTTTTCATTCTCATGAATGTTATTATCTGAAAATAAATCCCTGGTGTACATCGCACGACATTCTCCCTATTATGTACACTCGATATGAGATCATCCAGCCGGAAGGGGGTGTCACCATGGGCGGTAACTCGCACAAGTGCACGTACACGCATTGGCAGGTATTTATTCCACCCAGAGGTTCCTGAGAAGTGCGCAGCATAGAAAAAAATTGAAAGAAAATTATTTAGTTCTCTCGCATGCCACCAACAAGCGGATATCCTCTCAATCAATGACCTATATCCGACGTAAAACCCTAGGTATTGTCCTTGGAAACCAAAAAAAGAGTTCTCCAGCGCGTGCAAGGAAATACAGTTATATTACGTAATTATTTTAATCGTTAAACATTTTTTAATTGAGATCAGTTTTACATACTAATAATTTCATCTTCTGCAGCCATTTATTATTAAGAATTGGGAGACTTATAGTTTAAATGGTCTTTTATGCTCATCAGTTATTCGAGTTATCTCTCTTGCGGTTTTTGTTTCCGGAAGATGTCAAATCGATACATGTTAATTGAGCTCCTTTTTAAAATATTGTTTCTTGATTTATTTCAACATAGCTCCCTTGGAATTCATTACAAAATTACTTCATTACAAAACAAGGATTTGACCGTTTCTAACGGTAGAAGAAGTCAAAGAAATGACAATAACCGATAAAAAAATGACTGAGGTATGATTGGGAATAGTAAAAGGAATGAATAAAAAGAGAAAGCGAGTGAAAAGAATTGATACAGGATGGAATATACGTTAGAAGGGGAAAAAGTTTTGGAAATTCATAATAATATGTCAGATATATGCAAAATATATTTATGTTCCGTGCGGGAGTTGTTGGGATTCCTGTTTCGCGGAGTCCATTATATCCAGATATACCTGTCGGCAAGAGGAAGTCACCGGTAATGGAGCCAGTGTATGATGTTGGTAGGAATGAAAGAGAAAGAGCGAGGGGTTGCCGATGAGAGGCAAACGATGAACAAGTCCAAGACATTCTGGTCTTTCTCATCCGCATACACATATGCGACCGAGGGTACCTTTTTGTTACAACCCCGAATCGGGCTCTGGTCGCGTGCCGGACCGGAATCTCTTTCTTAGTTTGGGTCTCGGTGGACGTTTTTTTTTTCAACGTCAGGATGTGCGGCAAATCCCAGGACCAAACCCCGGCTACTGGTGGGGGGGTCAATCGGGGATTAACCTGGTTCCGGGGGGTGATCAGGAAGTGACCAGGGCACAGGGGTTTTGCCCACAGGTGGGACTTGTTTTCAACAAGTGGACAATGTATTCATTTCGACTATTCTGCAGATTACACACTTTCTTCATTCTCAATTCGATTCGAATGTGTCATCTTGAAAGCTTTCATTTAGATTCGTTTTCATACCACAATTCTTGCCATTGAAATTTCATCAACTTCAACATGTTCGAACACCTTTAAAAGTACTATGCTTATGTGGCTTCCGTGACAATGCACTTTTTTCATAACGTCAACTTCATTGAAATTTATCTGTAAAACATTAGCATGTGGCATACATGTAATTACATGTATTTTGATATGTAGATTCATGTCATATAAGTATTGACCGATTTCATAATATTCACAACTGAAAAATAAAAATAAAACTTTTATTTAATTCTCTTATAATACATTAATTGAAAAGTATAAGTAAGATATGTCTCATATTTTGTCAAACCTATAACGGCTAAATAATTATTCAATGAATGTTTTATAAGGGGATTAAATAAAAGACCTGGGAACATTTTTTTTGGAAGATATATTGATCTCCCAACGAGACGTTAAATGCTGAGTCTGAATAGAGGTTTCAATAAATGATGTACAATAGAATATAATATATCATACAGTAACAGTCAAGTCTTGAAAACTTGGTGGAAATTTAAAAACCAAGGAGCAATGTTATAATTTTTTGGTGTTGAATTTTAATTTGTAATAAATAATTAGAAAATGGTTGAACAATTTAGTATGAATTTTTGTGTAATTAGCAAGCTTTTATAAGAATTTTATACCCTCTAAATCTGGAAAGTTGTTCATTTTAAGAGGGTACCACCCCTCGTCTCTTTAGGTGGGATTCTCTGGTGCTAGGAAAACTCGAAATTAGCCCCTCACTATTGCAGAAAGTAAAATAGAAAGAGATGAAAGAAGAATACAGCCCCGGAGCGAAACGTTATAAATCGCTTTATTGCTTGGCACCCCCGCGCACAACATTTTTCAAGAACTCGACGAAGTGAAGCCTCGTCGAAGCTATTTCACCTCCACCGGATCGTAAATTTTATGTCTTCCAATGTATACCTTGGACATGGATGATTTGGAGGCAAGGTTGTAACGTACAAGATGTATTTGTCTGTTTCTTCGCTTTACTATTCAAAATCATCCGCATTCATAAAAACGAGCGTGAAGGAGTCTAAAGAAAAACGGAAAGTCGAGGCTATAATGACAAACAAACATTATTTCAGAGAAATCATGAACTGGTGTACAATTTTAATAGATAATTTTTTAAATTATTAATTTCGAAAAAACGATTTTCCAAGCAATGACGCTATCACCTGTTTCTCTAATTTTCCTAACGAATTCCGGATTTTTCATGGAACTCAAAAAATTTCTCCGGGAGGTGGAAAACATATATATAAAGATAATCACCATCAACATATCGGTAAATTTCAGTAATTTCATCGTCGTATAATTAAATACAATGGTGAAACCCTTTGAAGCAGCCGCTGTTTGTGTTCCAAATTGTACTCAATTTTTTTCCAATTTTTTGTTCAATTCCCCCTGTTCTAAACCAGCTGCACCTGCACGAACTCCTGATCATAGTATTTTGCAAAAGAGACAGATGACCTTGAGGGATCTAGACCCTGAAGTCTCCCGCTATAAAGGCACACGTAACGCCAAAAAATTTCCCAAAAATAAACGATACAAATATAGCCATTGATTAGAGGGGTCAAATCCCAAAAACTTAACGGGAATTTGTTTCCGGCGCCAAATCGTTGACCTCGAAAAAAATATATGCGATCGATGTGGGATCGATCCCTCAGCCATATGTTACATGAAAAAAACCCATTAAAAATAGCTAAACCTTGATAATTTCTCATTTCATTTGAGAAGGTATGGAAACTCCTTTGTCACGGTTTTATAGGTCGTTATAACGAGCGATCGTGAATCAAATCGCATTAGGCTCGCAGATGCATATTCATGGGAAACGTATGCCGGATTACACAGATTTCGTTGTGACACGCCTATACGAAGGGTCGCTAGAGGTACTATGTACTGCTAAAGGGGTTCTAGCATATTTATCAAATGGAGGCCAAACCATTGGTTGTGGGAAATTGGAGAAATTTTTTTTTAACAATCAGTGCCATTTTCCCTTCCTCATATTATTCAGCTCAATCGAGCCATTTCTTAGTATTATTTTTCAAGCATTACACCATCCAGTAACTCGACTGCATATTGACTGCACAAAATTAAGAGCCTCAATTGAAATATTTATTTCAAAATCTTGATGATTTATTGTAATTGTAATTATAATTAGAATGGGATTTTCGAATTGATAATAAAATTAACCCGAATGGAGTAAATTTAAGTGGGTATGTGAAAAGGAGAATTTTATATCCATTACGGGCGCGTGCTATTTATAATCTGAAAATAAAAATCATCCCCATATGGTGATTCATTTCAACGTGAAACCTGGATGTCCCGTGCTGAGGATGAATGCACACTGAGGATTATAACGGGGCGTGTGTGCTCCAACTGAAAGGTCTTCCCTCCCTCCTCCAGTTGGCCATCGCCGAGTAAGAGGATATAATCACTACCAACAGAAGAAGAAGAAGTTGGCGATGGCCTCCTCAGGAAAACGACCTGATATCCCGAGGTGGAATGGCCCGAGGGGTTTCTGGGGCACGTCGGTTACGCGAACATTGTGTCACGCACCGGATTATCCTCGGGCTTTTCCCTCCTCACCTCTCCGAAAGGTTAAAGTTATATGGAAGGGGTTTTTTTTTTGGGACCAAGATTTTGCACCAAGAAAACGTCGGATGCTGAGGCCCATTCACATGCAGATCCCCAACGGAGAACCGGATGAAAGCTGTCGATCCGCAGGAACACACGCGAAACTCGAAACTACTGACTATTTTTACAGGTAAGAATCAGGAGAGAGTGAGATGCACGTGGTTTTGAGGAATATTCAAAAGCATTACATCTTGAATTGTAACGAGCACTTTATTCTTACGTACCCGTTTACCTACTCCAATTGTTTGCCGGAGGGGGGGAGATTTACGTATGGGACGTGGTTAAATAGAAAGCACGTGGGATTTCATTTGAATACACCTGAATGGCATTGAATGGAAGGCGAGAAATGGCGACACGTGAATGAAGGAATTTTCAGAATTGTTTGGCACTCTGACAATTATTTGCATAACCATAGCTTTTAAGGTTTTCCTTCCGAATGGAAGCATTGTAATCGATCAAATTTCATTTTTTCATGTCTTATATTAAAATATATCAATCGAATATCATTGAAAAAGTTGAAAAATGCTGATCTCTTCCGGTTTTCTGTCAGGATTTTCAGCATTGAATTATTATCCTTCACTAGTTTAGGATTTTTTACATACAGTTGTTGTCAATTGGTCAGCCGAATGACCACGAATATTTACTTTTTTTTTTTGTGAATGACGCTCTTCAGGCGGAGTGCAGTGGATGGTCAATAAAATTGGAACTATTGCAGGGCTTCCGGAGAACCCTCATAAATATGACCTTCAATTGCCCCATAAATCATATCGTCCTTGGAATAATAAACCCC